GTTAATATATTGGAATATTCAAGTCTTTTAAAATTGGCTTCAAATAAATTTAAACTTCAAACTGGGTAGAATAAAGGAGAGTTTTAATGTCACAGTATGCCTCTAGGAATTTAGGGGTAAAACAATTTTATTATCAAAACGATTTTTAAAGTATACTTTGATAAACTTTTTGAATATTTTAATTTTTTTAAAACTTAAATTTCTTTAAAACTTAAATGTGTCCAAAGTGTTGTTATTAATTTGTGAAAATTTTAAGGATTTTTTTAAAACATTTTGGATGCAGCTTAAAATAAAATTTTAGTTAATTATTATTCAATAAATTTTTTGGGTTTAAGGAAAAGTTATTTGGAGAATATAATAATATTTCTTAAAATAATAAAAATAAAATTTGGTATATATTCTATCTCCAGTTTTGGAATAATAATAAAAATGATTATTTTAGAAAGGGACTATTAAATATACACAAGAATTTCATATAAAACCTGCACTCATCATAAAAATTTATTTAAATGCTTTTAAGACCTTCATAAATACTCTTTTAAACAAAGACCTCCTATCATAGATTTAAATCAAATATGAGGTCAACCTGATTGTCTCACAAAAACTATGTGGTGGTATCCATTGGCCATTTAGAAGATTATTGTCAAGGGTCAAAATTCAGGGTCTTAATTTATTAGGTATACATAGCAATTAAGATTGATTGTTAAGGGAGAAGTTAAAAGAGTATTTATGAAGGTCTTAAAAGCATTTAAATATTTTTTTAAGATAAATGTAAGTTTTATATGAAATTCATGTGTATATTTAAAAGTTCCTTTCTAAAATAATCATTTTTATTATTATACCAAAACTGGATATAGAATAGATACCAAATTTTATTTTTATAATTTTTAGAAATTTTATTTTAAGCTGCGTCCTAAATGTTTAAAAAAATCCTTAAAATTTTCAAAATGTTTGATATGATTCAATTATTAATTATTTATTAAAAGATATGTAAATATTTAATTGTATTTATTATTATATATTACCATTCAGTTATTAAACTTTATATGAACTTATTATTTGATATGGTTATATTTAAATTTTATTTATATACTTAATAAATAAATATATATTGTAAATAATTGTATCAATATTTAATAAACAGTTGGAAAATTAATAATAACTTTTATTTTGAAAGATAATATAATTTTTCCATAAAATATATAAAATTATTATATTTGAGTTATATAATAAAATTATAATAGAAATGATATAATCTTTTAAGAATAGGAATAGGAATATTTTTATTAATAACTATAGGGTTTTCCTTTTCTTTGTTGGCATTATCTTGATCTAGCTATTATTCAAGAATAAATAACAAATAATAGTAACATAATGTACAGAATCATTAGACATAAGGATAGCAATTTCATTAAGGTATGATGCAGTTAATTTTATATACATATATAAAATAATACTATTCCGAGATGTCAATTTTTAGATTCCTAAAATAAAAAACTATTTTATATTTTTGCCTTTTAATATTTTACATTTGTCTGTCAATTTTAAAATTGACTCAGATATTTGGTAATATCATCAATATTTTCTTTTAACCATATATATTGTTTGACATATGGTAGATCCTTATTTTCCAGCACCTTTTAATGTTACGATCTGAGTTATTGTAATATATTTATTGTATGGTTTAAGAGAAAATTGGCAGATATTCCAAGAGAAATTGCAGATATTATTAACAGTGTAATATTTTGAAGAATAAAATAAAAATTAAATAATTTTGTAAAAATTGTCCACTTACTAATACTTCAATTACCATTAAATAATTCAATCTATTATAATATAGTGTTGTATATTTTCTCATAACTTCATAATTGTAGAATGTATGTTATTCATAACTTATTATAACATTTTTGATGAAATGTATAACATTTTTGTTTTACTTATATATCATTTGACTATGATTGTAGTTAACCTCCTATCATTTGATCTTAAAATATCTTTTTATTTTTTCTATTGTAATTTAAAATCAATTTCTTAAATTAAATTTTATAATTTGTAACTAAATAATAAATCATTTGGAAAGGTGGTGGTTTGTTTAAAATTTAAATTAGGATGAACATATCTTCAGCATGGTACTTTAATGTGTATTCATGAATTTCATCTAATGATAGGTAAATCAGATATTTCCCCTTCATTTGATGATAATTTTGAAAAATTTTCCCAATTAATATATACATATATTAGACAGATTTAATTCTTAAAAACCCCTTACTATTTTTCAGGATTCAAGGGAAAAATTAATTATTCTGAATTTTCCTGGGCTTGGGAAATATTTTTCGCAATTAATTTGGACTTGGACTTAGCTTGCTAAACATTTTTCAAAAAATTTTTTAATTTTAAATATGGGCTAGAAATTGGCCTGAAAATTTCTTTTGAAAACATGGCCAGGCCTGATCGAAAACCAAGGCCCATGCAACTATCATATTCTGATTGTATTTTTAAATGCATTGTGACTTTTTATATATTTTATTTCAGTTCTCAACTACCAAAATTATTATGGTCTTTGGCAGGTTTGAGAAAATTTTCCCAAGTGCGTGGACCTGGCTTGGGAATTTTTTTAATATTAGGCATAGGTGTAATATTTAACACAGAATATTTATATGGCCCTCAAAAGCTAATTTAAATATTATTTTTATTCAAAAAAATAGTATTCACTCTTAGTCTAAATGGGTTGGCCTTGGTCTGAAGTAGGGGTGAGCAGGGTTAAGATAGAATAAAAAAAAGATATGGTTTTTAAAGATTTACCTATCTCCAGGTTTGGGAAAAAATTTTGAAAATTACTATGGGTTGGCCAGGCTAGAAAAATTTTTACAAAATTATTATGATTTTGACTGGGCTTGGAAAATATTTTTATAAATTATATTGGGGTGGGCTTGAGGAAAATTATGAGCTTGGACGTTTGATAATTTTTTTATTATTAACTATGGGTCAGAAATTGGCCTTAAGCAAGTTATTTTGCAGGCTTGGACTCGGCCTGATCAAAAAATCAAGGCCTATGAAAATCTGATTTTTATTGTATTTTTAAATTCATTATGATTATTTAAATGTTTTATTTCAGTTCTAAACTACCAAAATTATTATGATCTTTCATTGGGCTTGGAAGAATTTTTTAAAATTATTATGGCTTTGTACTTTGACTGGGAATTTTTTTTAATATTAAATATTAGGTATAAGTGATCAATAATATTTAACAAATAATATTGGTATTATCAAGTAAAAGTTTTAAATTTATTCTAACTCAAACAATAGTATTTAGTCTTAGTTTTAATGGATTGAACCTGGCCTGAAGGGGGGAGGGGGTAAAAAGAATAAAATTGGATATAATTTTCAAATAACAGGTAACATCTAGCAAAAATATAAGAAGATAATTCTTATTCCCTGTCATTTTTACGGGCTATCTACTAGTTTATATATAATAGAGGATTATAAACTATATATCTACTTACTTTTTATAAAAAAATCTTTTACACTTATTTGTATTGGACCTTGGAAATATTTTTAGAAAGAGACATGGTAATTAAATTTAAAAATAAAAAAATAGTTGATTAGTGATTTTGAACTCGGCTAATTGCAATATTAAATTTGTTAATTGTCAATTAATAAATTATTATATATATTTAATTAGGGTTATATAATAATTTAAATAATATAAGTTAAATAAGCTTCAACTGTTAATACTAAATTAATATTAAGTGAGTGATATTTAAATTCTATTTTTAATACAGAATTTGATTGCTAGCTGACATAGTGAAAGTATAAATTATATGTATTAATCTAATCTAAATATTTATTTATTAAAAATTTAGTTAGTCTTATTAATTTTTAAATAATATACTTAATAGAATTATAAAAGAAATCGTTCAGGGGACAATCGAAAATTTTTATTTTTAGGTCAAAGGGATATTAAGGAGCCAGTAAAAAAATTTTGCTTCAGAGGGTTATTCAATTTTTTCAGGGGGCTCGAGCCCCTGCTCACCCCTCCATAGTGATGCCACTGAAGGCGCTGCATCTGATATTAATTCCCCTATCGGTTTATTTAGTTTTTTTATTTAATATTTTATACCTATATTAATAATTTTATTATCACCCAGTTGCCTCCATATGATATTTCTATTACCACTACCACAATCCTCATGTCACCTCATGCATATTTTGACATATATTTGATACACCTTCTTTAATGCCAAATGAATGGCGAAAAATTATTGAAAAGGCTCAAATAAAAAAAACCCAATTTTCTACATGTTGCAAGAATGGGAAATTTTTATCGCAATTTTCCCCTTCTCCTCCAAATTTTATATATTTATTTACCGTGGAGCATTGTTTATCAACCTACTTTTTAACAAACATTAGAGCATTTGATTCTGCATTGTTATTCACTTTACTAAGAGTTAATATAAATAATACTTTATTTAATACCCTCTCCAGTAATTATACCTTTCAAATTAATAGACAGGTTAACCATCGCATTGGTTACCCTACCAACATTAGGGGACACACCTAAATTTTCCCAAATATATATAAGATAGTGTAAATGAAATACAAAACAGTCATAATCAGAATCCTTTTTTAGATTGTCATCTTTTAATGAAATTGCAGGAAATTATTCACAACTATAACCTGTTTGCTTCTTAATTTATGAGAGTACTATAATCACTAATAACTTTCCTAGCATATCTTTAAACCTAAATCTACTCCAAGCTTTGGTATACTATATTGCAATAAACCTACCTCATCTGAAATAGCGGTATTATTTATTAGTTAAGGAGAACCAACCCGAGACATAGCCACATATAGCTGTCCCTGTGAAAAAACAGGATGAGATAAATACAATTTTCTTCAACGTTTGTCACTGAGCTTTATTAATTGTCATGACATAAGCAGGTGTCTCACGGTAAATTTACGGCGCTTAAAGAAAAATGGTAAGCCAGAATCAGTTGAAATTAAGCTAATGGAATAAAAACTTTAGTGGTTAGAAAGCTACCAGAAATAAAATCTGCTATATTTGGTCGCAAAGAGGTTATAATCAATTTAGTCCCATTGCTCAAACCAGATGCAGAATTTAAATTACCCATTAGAATTATAGGTATCCCGACTTTGAGTGAAAGTTTGTAAGGGGGTAATCCTGATATATTTAAAGTGTTTAAAAATTCAGTGGGATAAAATGTCGCTTCTTCGGTTATCGTTTCATAAGTACTTGTATATATAACTAAATCCCCAGGAATTTTGTTCATCAATTTAATGTTTATGTAATCGACATTTACGTTTTCAGAGGTCAGGAGGGCATTTTGAACAAATGTTATATGATTAAAGGAGGTATTGTCTTTGTCTATACCGTAATCAAAAGCAATAAGATCTTCAATTTCATTGGAAGCTGTAAAACAATCTTCAGGAATGTTTATTTTATCCCTAGAGCTATCAAATGTCTCATAGACTTCACCAACAATTTGAGTAACTATTATTGACAAGAGATTCATTTGCATCGTGAAATTGTAGCAATCTCAAATTAATACCTAACCTTAATGATAATATATTTGAACATAAATACGACCGTTTTAAGGTTGAGTTAACAATGTAGTTCACTGTGTTTTTAAAGGGGATACCTATACTGACACTTTTGGTAGAGGAATCATTTTGCGTTCTTCTTTTACCTGTGGCGGCTCAAAGCATAGGCAATGCATGAATTATTTCCTCATTAGACTTCAGACAACCGTTCATATTTAGTATGTCGCTTTTTTCATCGAAAATTAAAATGTCAAAAAAGATTTGCTCTAAATTTTAACGGATACACAAAATAATAATTAATCCTCATCATTTTTTTTAAAAAATTAGCCTAAATTTATATGGATTGACAAAAAAAATAAATTTCTTAAAAAAATATATAATAAATTGAATAAATGTTTCATTAATATTGAATATCATTTTGTAATTTAAATAGATAGCATTTTTTGTAACTTAAAATAAAGAAATAGCCCTAATCAAATTTTTGATAAATAATTTCGGAAAGGCAAGACATACACTAAATTTATCAGAAAAACAAAAATAAACCAAAATTTATTTTCTAGATTTAATCATAGTACAAAAAGAATAGGAGTCATTTAATTTTTACTTCATGGATAACAAATAAAGATGCAAACATTAATAATTCAGCATAAAAAATCAATTTTGTTAGAATTGTTGTAATGGAAGCAATTTCAATCCATACTTTTATTCATTCATAACTTAATTTTTGATATCTCAAATAATGAGGTAAGATTTGTTATTGCTTATATAAATATTAGAAAAGACCTGATTTTGTCATGATTTTCTAATAAGTGGTTTGTCTGAGCTTTCCCAGTTTCCCTCATTACGAATTCAGATTTTTTTAAATATGTATACTAGGAGTTAACCCGTAGACTAACCAGTGGCGTCGCTAGGGGGAAGGGCGCGCAGGGGCTTGAGCCCCCTGAAAAATTTGAAGACTGAATATAAAAATTTTTTTTTAATGGCTCCTTAATATCCCCTTTAACTAAAAATGAATTTTTTTGATAGCTCCCTGAATGATTTCTTTTATAATTCCATTAAGTAATATATAGATTTAATTTTATTATTTAGAAATTAATAAGACTATTTAAATTTTTATTAAATGAATACTATTTTAATTATTAGATTAGATTAATACATATAAATTATATTTTCACTATTTCAGCTTGCAATCAAATTCTGTATTAAAAATATAATATCAATACTCTCTAAATATTAATTTAGCTTTAACAGTTGAAGTTTAATTGACTTTTATTATTTAAATTATTATATAACCCTAATTAAATAAATATAATCATATATTATTTCAAAATTAACAAATTTAATATTGTAATTAGCCGAGTTCAAAATGACTAATCAACTGTATATTTATTTTTAAATTTAATTATCATACCTATTCCTAAAAATATTTTCAAGATCCAAATAAGTATAAGAGATTCAAAAGATATAGTTTATAATCCTCTATTATATACAGTTGGTTATATAATATTAGATAAAATGCCACTTTTATAGACGTATTTGACAGTTAAATAATATATTACAGTTATTATTATAATAAATTTTCCTAATAAATGGTTTTGATAATAAATATAGTAACAATATGCATTCAAGTATTTAACGCCATCTATTTAGTTATAAATAATTTTAAAAATTAGACATTTTATTATTCATCCTGCAATAGATGTAATAAATTTGATATCTTTTCTTCTCTCTTTTCTTCTCTTTTCTTCTCTTTTTTTCTTTATATAAAAACAGTTTTGAATTAAATTTTTAATACAAGTATATTTTTGATATTATTACAAACTACTATTATTTTAAGATATAATATCGACAATATATAAAATTTTAATTGTTTCATCATATCATTCTGGTCCTTATTTTATAGTTAGAAAATGTTTCATTTCTAATAAGGCATTGCTGTGTGAAAATAACTCCAGGCTGCAATATATTTGCATAATTATTTTTTTCAAAATTTTTAGTGTTTTTATTTTATCAATTTATCCAACATAGTAAATTCTGATATAAGTTTACATCGTGAGTGTCATGGCTATTACTGCAAATTAACCAGTGTATATTATTTGTGTTGCTATGTAATTTAAGATTATTACAACCACGGCTGAGAGAATATGATTGCATATTTTAGATAAACAATAATGGTCAACTGTGTAGTCGTTTATTTTATACTCTTTTCTTCAAAAATTGTTGATTTGGTAGAGGCCTATAAAATTTTTCCTTATTAGTTTATTGTATAAAACATTGTCTAAAATGGTAACAGAGAGTTATACTAGTTTGATAACCTTTTGTCAATGTAAGTTGCTAAGAATTATATTATTGCATTATATCGTTTTTTATATGCCAGTTTATTTTGTATGCAATAGTGTTGTTAATCGACTAAATTTAGTCGACTCACACACGACTAACTAATAGTTTTAGTCGAAAAATTCGACTAAAAACTTTAGCAACTAAATTAGTCTATTAGTCGACTAATTTGGTCGACTAATTTAGTCGACTAAAACGACTAATTTAGTCGACTAAAACGACTAATATAGTCGACTAAAACGACTAATATAGTCGACTAAAACGACTAACATAGTCGACTAAAACGACTAAAACAACTAATATAGTCGACTAAAACGACTAACATAGTCGACTAAAACGACTAATTTAGTCGACTAAAACGACTAATATAGTCGACTAAAACGACTAATTTAGTCGACTAAAACGACTAATTTAGTCGACTAAAAGAACTAATTAAGTCGACTAAAAGAACTAATTAAGTCGACTAAAAGAACTAATAAAGTCGACTAAATTAAGTCAATAAACATAACATAATCCTTATTTTTGATAAATTTTTTAGGTAAAAATATATGTTGTAAAGATGTAAAAATAAAATTTCAGTGAAGATGTACCATCATAGAAAAATATTAATTGTTATTTTTGAAAAGTAAATAGATAAAAATATATTTATTGTAAAAGTGTTAAAATAAAATTTCAGTGAAGATGTACCATAGAAGAGTGACAATTGTCATAATCGTTATTTTTGAACTTTTTTGAATTTTTTAAAACAAATAGGTAAAAATATATATTGTAAAGATGTTAAAATAAAATTTCAGTGAAGATGTACCGAAGATAGGTGACAATTATCATAATCGTTATTTGTGAACTTTTTTGAATTTTTTTAAAACAAATAGGTAAAAATATATATTGTAAAGATGTTAAAATAAAATTTCAGTGAAGATGTACCGTAGATAGGTGACAATTATCATAATCGTTATTTGTGAACTTTTTTGAATTTTTTTAAAATAAATAGGTAAAAATATATATTGTAAGGATGTTAAAATAAAATTTCAGTGAAGATGTACCGTAGATAGGTGACAATTATCATATTCGTTATTTGTGAATTTTTTGAATTTTTTTAAAATAAATAGGTAAAAATATATATTGTAAAGATGTTAAAATAAAATTTCAGTTAAGATGTACCGTAGATAGGTGACAATTATCATAATCGTTATTTGTGAACTTTTTTAATTTTTTTCAAAATAATAGGTAAAAATATATATTGTAAAGATGTTAAAATAAAATTTCAGTGAAGATGTACCGTAGATAGGTGACAATTGTCATAATCGTTATTTGTGAACTTTTTTGAATTTTTTTAAAACAAATAGTTAAAAATATATATTGTAAAGATGTTAAAATAAAATTTCAGTGAAGATGTACCATAGAAAAGTGACAATTGTCATAATCGTTATTTTTGAACTTTTTTGATTTTTTTTAAAACAAATAGGTATAAATATATATTGTAAAGATGTTAAAATAAAATTTCAGTGAAGATGTACCAGAAAAAAGTGACAATTGTCATAATCATTATTTTTTAACTTTTTTGAATTTTTTAAAAGCAAATAGGTAAAAATATATATTGTAAAGATGTTAAAATAAAATTTCAGTGAAGATGTACCGTAGATAGGTGACAATTATCATAATCGTTATTTGTGAGCTTTTTTGAATTTTTTTAAAACAAATAGGTAAAAATATATATTGTAAAGATGTTAAAATAAAATTTCAGTGAAGATGTACCATAGAAAAGTGACAATTGTCATAATCGTTATTTGTGAACTTTTTTTAATTTTTTTAAAACAAATAGGTAAAAATATATATTGTAAAGATGTAAAAATAAAATTTCAGTGAAGATGTACCATAGAAAAGTGACAATTGTCATAATCGTTATTTGTGAACTTTTTTGAATTTTTTTAAAGTAAATAGGTAAAAATATATATTGTAAAGATGTTAAAATAAAATTTCAGTGAAGATGTACCGTAGATAGGTGACAATTATCATAATCGTTATTTGTGAACTTTTTTGAATTTTTTTAACAAATAGGTAAAAATATATATTGTAAAGATGTTAAAATAAAATTTCAGTTAAGATGTACCATAGAAAAGTAACATTTGTCTATTTTTCAACTTTTTAGCTGAAACGAGCAGACTTTTATTTACTCCCCTTTATCTTATTGGGCGAGCTAGCTAAATAATATCAAAAATTACGAGCGGACCGGTTAAAAATTTTTTACTTTTAATTTTTATCTAAAATTTATCAGGTAACATTAAAAAATATATGCTTCATAAAATTTTAACATTTGTCCAAAGTACAAATAATTGTTGTGGATGTTATATGTGGGAAAAGCTTATGAGATTAAAAAACTTCTTATTTTATTTACATGGATGAATATAAATCGACGTGAATAAAAATATGATTTCACCTATGGCCCAAAAGAAAAGAAAATTTAATTATTAAATTTTAAATGCACTGTTTGAAATAGGTAGCATCCACGTCAAGATTAAATCACAACATAAGATTAGATGAGGTTATGAGATGAGAGCACACTTTTTAATTACATAACCATTTAAATTTTAAAGTAAGTTTATTGATATTTTAAGGCTTAGCACCATTTTTTTGTACATTT